AAGTCTGGTCAAAGGATCGGCTTCACTTGTCTCTTTGACGAGTTGTTGTGTCGTGCTAAGAATGGCGATAGTCACTGACGATGCCGGCGAAACGTCTGGGAATGTACCACTTCCACGGTTCAACTTTGGAAATGATCATGCAGACAATGGACCCCGGACTGGGTCCGTTCCAATAAGTCTTCCTACCCATGTTGCGAAAACAAGGTCAAATAACCTCTATACAACGAAAGGAGACTGCGACCACACAAAAGGCCACCTCATCTTGGTCTTCATATCTTGTAAATGTATACATTTGCCAAAAGAGGTGAGAGTGGTGATCCCATCGGTACTTTAAATATTTGCTCATATATAATGCCGTTAAATGTGAAATATGTTGTCATAACTGTCAGGTTGATTAGTAGTGTTAACGATTCCTTCCATATCCGTTCTGCCTACAGGATGTCCTCTTCTCACTGCAATATCTCCATTAAGGCGCTTATCCCCTTCTCACCTGAGATGTTTGTGTACATGGATTGTACATCAAAACTCACCAACAGCTCCGATCCCACTAACCCAATGTTCTGGATCCTTTGAGAAAATTCATAAGAATTCTTGATGGTATTCAAGAGTCTGCATGTACTTTCTTGAGCTTCAAGCAAATGAATTTCGCTAGTTTGTGCACTACTTCATGCTTGATTTTGACTATTAGTCTTAGAGGATTTACTTCCTTGTGTATCTTCGGTAGTCCGTAGTCTGTCGGTGGTCTTGCGTCATTTTTGATTAAAGATTTAATCATCTACCTGTCAATTTATCCATTTGTATGCATTTCCTTGAGCATATTCTTCAGTGTACAGTTGATCTTCGGAGTTGGATCCTTCCTTAGTATTTGATAAGTGTTCCGGTCACCAAAGATACTTTCCATTTTCTCCGTGTATTTTTTCCTGTCAATTACAACAGTCGCTTCTCCCTTATCCGTCTGAAGAACTATTTGATCATTATTTTGTAATTTTTTCCGTATATCAGCCAATTTGCTCCTGTGTTCTTGATGTGTCAGCATCCGTAGGATTATTTATTAGTTCCATCTCTCGCCTTGTATCTTCTGAATATTTATCCGTTATGTTGACAACTTCCACCAGGATATCACTAAGAACATTACCTTCATCACCTAGTGAAAAATGTAACCCCTTCTTTAAGAGATCCATAGTTTCAGAATCAAGAGGGATTGAAGATAGTTTTACTATCTTTGTTCTATCGTCGACTGTTACAGTTGATGCCTTCAAAAGAAAACCAACACAATTCGCACAGGTTGACTTGGTCTTGCTTTGTCTTATTATCCCATAGCTAAGCAATTTCTTATCATGTCGCTTATTTATCAGATCCCGGACCCTCTGTGACTTCTGGTCGGTCATCCTCTGGAGTTTTTGAAAATCATCCAAAGCGAGAACCCTACCTAAATCCTTCCTTAATCTAAACTTAATATCTATGAACCTAAATAGCTTACGCCTCTCAGTCTCGTAACTTTCCACTAATTTCTGCATGGAAGCGTGAAAAAGAATTTCATTCACTGTGTCCGAATGACACTTCCCCATTAGATTGCAGAATCTGGGAGCGATACCATAATGTTTGCGAAAATTCAAAATGGCCAAATGGCAGGATTGACTTACAATTTTCCTCTCTGTTCGGCTCTAATCAGTGCATTGTTTGGCAATATTACTTCCATATTTTAATGGAAGGTATGAAGACCAAGATGGTGTGGCCTTTTGTGTGGTCGCAGTCTCCTTTCGTTGTATATAGGTTCCCACAATCAGATGAATGGGTTCGCAATGCCATTATAAGATGCGATTAGGTTGAGACCTGATGTCTTTATTATCAGATTTCCCCCGCTATCCATTGGCCTTAGTATATAAGTAATGGGATAGTAGTTGTTGTGAAATCCAAGTTTTCTTGGAATAGTAATGTCGCTACTCTATTTCTGTTGAGCCATTGATGAGACGACAAGGAGAGGCCGAAACTAAGACAAGTCTAGCCCGGGTGAGATAGCCCTTTGAAAGGTAGGCCTAAGTGAAATTCAATGGTGTCATGAGGCCCACTCATTTTATTGTTTGGGAAAACTCAAATATTCGGCCTTAAATCAGCTTAAATGGCCTAGGCTAAGTTCCAATTCAGGAATTACTGATAGTATCGAAACTACTTATGCTAAAAAAGGCATTCTTTTAATCCGAGAGAGTTTCAACTGCACAAATATGCAAAAGAGGAAAAGATTGAGTAAAAATTTGACAAGCCAGGATTAATTTCCACAAATTGGGACCGAATGGATTTTGATTAAGCGAGTTCTTTATATGTCAAATAGAAATAAGATGACCTTTGAAATGCTAAATATATAAAATAATGGGATTTTTAAGCTATCAGTAGAAGTCTTAAGGTCCCTCAAGTTGATGCTAAGGCTGGCAGTTGAATTTGCCGGGAAGAAATAAGTATAAGACGACACGTTGTTTCAATTAGCTTTGCCTATCATAAGGTCTTCTTACCTGAGCTACAGAGCAACTTAGTTCTCTCTTGAGTCTTAGCAGTATGACCGTCGGGATTCAAAGCCTAGTAGTATGCGCAAAGTGGCAACATACTACAACTCTGCCACAACGCTAAGAATCCCAGACGGTTTCAGGGAATACACACAAAATTTTTAAACTATTCATATATCTTGAATTAGAGAGCTAATAGTTTCGAAGCCTGCATAATTGTTATATAGTAAGAATGATAGGTTCTTACTACGCAAACTCGACTAGCAGTTTAAGCACCTTTCCTTTAAAGAGAGATTATAAGATTACAAAAATAATTGAAATACTCAATATAGTTAATGCACATGAGCCCTAATACTGCCAGTTGCTAAACGATATTGACGAAAGCAAAGTGACTGAGCAACAGAGGATGAAAAGAGGAGATAAGGGACATTATGTCCCAAGACTTGACGAGAAGAAAAGAAGTGCGGTATGAATGAAAAGCGGATGCCTGGCTATGTACCCAGGCCATTCCAGGTGCCGAAACGAATCCAAGTGGCCGGACTCAACTGCAACAGAAGTAGGATGTTGCAGACAATTGTCACTATTGGAAGGAAGGGGACGCCAGGCACTGAAAAGTAGAGCCGCTTCAGAGTGAGTGTATCTTGGGGCTGGCGAGAGATGATGAGAGTCATTATGAAAAGAGCTATACAACAGAAAAAAAAGGGTTTGAAGAGAACAAGCATTTGCATTATACAAAAATAGAAGATAGAGAAGAATCGAGATAGAAGGTAAAGCAGGTAA